CATTCTTGTTTTTGATACTTCAATTCATTCTTTCTATTCCTAATTGTCAGTAGTCTATATTCATAAATTTTCTCCGTTTATCTAGTCTTTTTTCTTATTACTACAAAATTAACTATATTTCAAAAGAGGCACCGTCATTCTGAGAATTCAACCAAAATTTAATCTACATATTGTAACGGTACAACCCGTAATGGTCCTTAATAACAAAGGTTTTAAACACAATTTCGTACAAAAGTCGTTTTGTTTTAATTGACCCGGACTTGCATATATGGACAAAATCTTCAAAATGAATGTATGAAAAAATTGCAGTGCAGAAATCTTCTTATTAATATTATAAACGCAAAACTTTGTGAGTACGGATGTTTATTACTCTTTGACGCAAAAACTACTGAACGGATTTTAATGAAACTTTACAGTAATATAGCTTATACATCAGAATATCTTATAGGCTATAAATTTCACGCGAATGAAACCGCGAGCACAGCTAGTTATATTATTGTAATAGAGAATAATACATAAAATATTTTTTTTTACTAATATGATAGCAAACAAGTATAAGACTTGTCTGATGGTAAAATATTTATATATATAAATATGTTATTCCTTAGTTATGTTGTAAATGTCTTGAAAAGACTATACTCGAACACTATACTTTTTATTATTTTTTTAATTCATATAAAACCAATTTACAAAGAAACAAATTGCTCTTTTAAAAGTTATAACTGTGTATTTCTATCTGGACGACTTTAACATTTAACTACGGTTTAACTACCGACCAAACCCGGCTTCGCACGGATTCTTAACAAATTCTTAAATTTCTCGGCTTATTCTATACTATAACACGCGTGTACCTATGTACCTCGACTTACATGGATAGCCGCCATCAAAAATGACCTAACATGTGAAAATTTAGACCAAATGACGATCCAGACACGAAGTCTCTGGAGATGCATTATTAGTATAGCTGACCCCAATTAAGATGGGATTAGGCCGGGAGAGAGAGAGCATGTACCTATTATACATATAAACCTTCCTATTGAATAAATAAAGAACTATTTATTGTTAAAAAATGTATTAAAATCTGTCAGCGACAGCGACTTTGTTCTCTATGTCTTTACTATACACATAGTATAAAACAAAGTCGCTGTCGCTGTCTGTCCGTCCCTATGTATGCTTAAATCTTTAAAACTACGCAACAAATAATGAAACTGTTTTTTTAATAGATAGAGTGATTCAAGAGGATTATGCGGAGGAATGAGGACCATGTCTTATGGAAAGTATAATATGAATGTAAGTAAATGATGTAAAGGGAGGGGACGCCCTAAGAAAAGATGGATGGATTGTGTGAAAGATGATATGAATAAAAGAAGAGTATGTTTAGATATGACGACCGATAGAGATCAGTGGAAGAGAATGACATACTGCGCCGACCCCAAATAATGGGATAAAGGCAAGGCAATGATGAGAGTGATTCAAGAGGAAGGTTTATATGTATAATATATGTACACCCGTGCGAAGCCGGGGCGAGTAGTTAGTAGATAATAAAATCTTTATTTAAGTTATTGCATGTTGGACGCACCGTTAATGTCAATCTTAACAAAACAAACATATTATGTTGGTCACATTTCATGAATTGTCTGACGCAGATATAATTTTTAAATTAAAAAATTAAAACTGATTCTCGTGCACAAAGCTGTTTATTATACATCTTTAATGAAATAAAATGTTTTTTTATTAACTGAAATTATGAATTAGGAATTTTGTTTTAGTAAGAAGTTTTCATAAAAAAAATGATGCACTCGCTTGCATTAACGGTATACGCTAAAGTGACTGATGATAAGGTGAGGGTGATAAAGCCAGATAGCTCATGGTGGTAAAATTATCAAGGTTTTTAAAGGAACAGCTAGAAGTCGACTTTTTTTTTAATTATTGTCACTTCGAATACCTAAACGCTCAGATACTGTAAAATACATTTTTAAATACGGCAACACTATTCCTTTATTTCCTCAGTACTGTCACCAGCGTAGTAATACTGGCAATACACTCCACCAATCCTACAGTAAATCCCATCTAGATCATAAATATCCACGCTAGGGTTGTCAAACGTAGCAGAGATAAGATAATATTAAATATTAGGATGATCTTACTTGGTACATGGTGATGGTACAAGGTTTCTGATTCAAAATTAAGATTGAAAACATTGCTACCTAGTGGTTTAAGCTAAATAGGTCGTGACTTCAAATATACCTGACAAAAAAAACTTTACGTGTAAATTTATACTTCTCGATGACTCTCCAGTTATTTTTTCGGACTACTTTAATGCAGTTGCCCGCAGCTGGCCTTTACAGCATCACGAACGATAGAGGGCAAGTGCAGATGTCAATACAAACCTCGAAAGGACTTATGGAATAGTTAAAGGTCAACTCCCGCCTGACGGATACGATTTAGTCTGAGCACCGCTGGAGGTTCGAACCTCAGCTCAGGCTGTCGTAATTTCAATTCCCGTTTGAATTGGACGAAACATGGATCGGAAGTGAGTGATAAAAAGACCTATATTAAATCATAAGTTGAACCGAGAGAGAAAAATAAAAAAACTTAGCTTAATATTGGTATGTAATATGCAGCCCCCAAAATATTGGTCTGACCTAGTTTGGGGACTACAAATAATAGAAACATAAAAATTGTAGATATTGTAGTAAATATGTAAATGTAAATCTATATATAAATGTAAATGTCAATCTATATAAATAAATAAATAATAATAATAAGTTGCCATCTCCTCTCCTTAAGAGGGGAGATGAGATTATTTTTAAGTTTAAGAAATAATATTAATCTCAGGACAATTATACACAGCGCCATCTAGACCCAAGTTAAGCTAACTAAAGCTTGTATTATGGGTACTAGACAACTGATACAAATACATAAAGTTTTTTTTCCTAAATACATACATATCATACATAGAAAACACCCAGACCGATGCAAACAATCATACTCATTAATACAAATGTTTGTGCCGTGTGAGGAATCGAACCCGCGACCATCGGTCGTAAGGCGGCTAAACCGCCAGACCACCGAGGCCGTATATATATATACTAGCTTTTGCCCGCGGCTTCGCTCGCGTTAATTTATCCCCTTAGGGGTGGAATTTATCAAAATCCTTTCTTAGGGGATGCCTACGTCATAGTAGCTGTATGCATGCAAAGTCTCAGCCCGATCGGTTTAAAATTGACAAACTTTCATGCCCTATTTTATTCCCTTGGTAGTAGAATTAATCAAAATCCTTTCTTAGCGGATGCCTACGTCATAACATCTACCTGCATGCCAAATTTCAGCCCGATCCGTCCAGTGGTTTGGGCTGTGCGTTGATTGATCACTATGTCAGTCACCTTCGAGTTATATATATTTAGATTATATATAGGTGATGTTTTTTTAGGGTTTTATATCTTTTTTGTTTATAGCAGTTATTTAGATAAATATTACGTTATTTGTGATATTGGCAACCCTATACGTGCTTTAAAATAAATAACTTACCGCTTCATTATCATCGCGTCCCCGGCGTCCACTCAACATAATTTCAACATCATTTAAATCTCGCGTTGTTAATTTACTCTCGTCTATTAAATCTTTAATTACTTTCGTGCTCGATTCCTCTACGAAGAAGTAATCGACTAGAACACTTCTATTAGGTAGTTCGACGTAATCTTTTACATCTTCTATTTTGACGTCTCTCTTGATTTTAGCTGTTGGGAAATCAACATCATCTATCGCTATATAATCTTCAGTATTCGTATCCATTTCTGTTGTTGACCAATCGTAATAATCTGTGGTAGATTCTGTGGTATACTCAGTCGCATATTCAAGTATTGTCAAATTTAGTTCCGATATACTGGTTATACGTTTTATAGTGATGTTCCCGCTTGCGTAATTGTATACGTCAATCCAATATCTCGAGCTGTACAAGACTATTGACAATATGAACAGCACGCAGAATAATAACAACAGTATTGTTAATCTTATTATTAATTTTAATAATGATATGTTTATTTTCATTTTTATTAACATATGTTTAGATGTTGCTAAACAAATATATGATTTCATACTGAAGCCTTATAATCATTTGTCAAGGGATTTCTATTAAAACATTACACACGCCTTTTTAGGAATATAATAGGTTACGTTAATAATAACAATGGGCTATAATAGTAGAGCTACTTTAGTGACAGACGTACAGAATCCATTATTGATTATTGTTAGTACATTTTTAACAATTATTATTATTTATTTACTAGCTTTTACCCGCGACTCCGTCTGCGCAGAATTAAGGTTTCTTTTTATTAAAATAAAGAACATGTTTAAAATAAAAGTAAACTAAGTTACTCATTATAACATTAACTGTCTACGAGTGAAAATCCTGTCGAAATCGGTCCAGTTGTTTCAGAGATTAGCAAGAACAGACTGACAAAAAATAATATTATTTCCTTATCGTATCATATATATTTTCATTTGCATTTAATGAAAAGTTGTTAATTTGAAATTACACCTTAATTTTAATTATTTGTATAGTTTTTTATATCTATCTCATCTATTAATATCAAACACCTTCTGCATAATTGTAGTGTAGCGGTAAAGCACCGTCCTAGGAATCGAATCCAAGACCATAGTGGTAAAGCTACTTAGCTGGGACTAGAGAGCATGCGAATTGTCTTATAGGACAGGACAATTCGTCCGTTTTTTTTTTATTATTAATTTCATTACTATTATTATATAGTTAACGCAATTACATAAGAAGAGGTCTTCAAAACAATATTTCTCGATTTCTGTAATTATTCTAAGTACTAGGTAATGTAAAAATAAAAACATATTATATTTAAAAATATATTTACTTTGTACTTAGATTATAACAAATAATATTAACAACAAAATAATTAACTCACAACATCAACAACATTCACAACAGACTCTCGCAACAACAACAGACTTATAACAACAGTAACAACAAATTAGATCTTGTGTGATCCCTTCTTTGTATGGATAATGGTTTCATATACTGGTACTTTGAATGGAACTGGTTTTTCTACAGGTACAATAATATGTTTGATAACTTCAAAAGGCACTTCCTTGATTTTGGGAACATGTACCGTCTTCTCAACGGGATAAGGTACAGATTTCTCTACAGGAATTGAAACTTCCTTCACGATTGGTATAACGACTGCCTTTGGTACTGGCACTTGTATAGGTATAGGATGAGGTACAGGTATGATAATTGGTTGATTGATTTTGAACTCTACGTTCTTTGGAACAGGGACTACTACTTCTTTGTAATGTTTTATAGGTTCGGGACTTTCTTCTTCGACGTGTTCGTGGACAGGATACGCGTGGGCTTTCAATTCGTGACCGCCATAGCTATGACCGCCGAAGTCATGACCGGCTAGACTGCTCTCATGACCGCCCAGTCCGCCTTCGTGACCGCCGAAGTCATAACCGCCTGAGAAGTCACTTGCTTGCAACTGTAAAAGAATTAACTTGTTAGGATAGGAGTACGAAATCAGATGGGGCCTGCCCTATCTACGGGGCAAGCCAACGCTGTCGGAAAAAGCCAGATGGAGCATGCCCTATACCGTCTACAGTGATGGTCAATGCTGGAGTAGCTTCAACTCGGATAATGATGCTCGTAGGTACAACGTGTGGTTCTTTACTCGGTAAGAATCCCACACACCGCCTCGTCACCCATCCAGCGAGAGGACGGTCTTTCGAAGATTTTTCCATACGATATAAAAATTACGAAAGCAGAATCTTATCTAATATTGGTACATGTAGTTGGCGACAGGAAGGAAACAAGAACCAGGGAGAGTATCGGATCACTAGTGTGGAGAATCCTGGATCGCTTCCTAGATCGTACAGTATGTAGCGAAATTAAGGTCAGTTTATCAAAATATGCCCTCGGAGCTGATTCTTAATATTTGTTAGCTTCTATTCACACCAATCCTAAATATAAACTAATGGGCGGTAGATAAAAATGTGTAATATATGACTATTCAAAAGTGTTTTTATTTATTTGAATTAAGATTATTTCTATTTCTACCAGTTATCGAAATTGTATTACATCAAATTGCTTATAGATTCACGGTACCATAACATCATAAATCTCACTATAAGTGTTGGCGACAGACCTTTTAGAAAATATTTTTAACTACGTTTTTCTGCATGCAATTTTTTACTTATCTATTTTTGTTTAGTTCAATAATTGTGTCAAATATACCAAAACAAACGATTGGTGAGTTAAATATTTATTTTACCTTATAAAAGACATTGACTTTGCCAAATAAATGTCAATACTATAAACAAACATATACCTACATAGACATGTTGAAAACAGGAGGTAATGAATCTTTTTAAAAACTTAAATACATACATACAATCCTTACTTATATTATTAATGTGAATGCAGGTATGTTTATTACGCTTTCACGCAAAAACTCATCCCATCCCATCATCGAGATAATTCTGTACACATATTATTGGACGTATTAGAATGAACATAGGATACATTTTATTTTAAAAAAAACAAAAACAATATACCGACAATTTACTACTTCAGCGCCATCTAGTAGCCAGTAATAGAGTTATGCGAGCGAGGCCTTTTTTTCGGACTACTCTAATGCTGTTGGCCGTAGCTGGCCTTTACAGCTTCACCGGACGTTATGGGGCGAGTGCAGATGGAACTCCAAACCCGCGGAAGGACTTATGGAGCGGCTGAAAGCCAACTCTCGCTTGACAGATACGACTTTAGTCTGAGGGCACCGCTAGGGGCTCGAACCTCGGCTCAGGCCGTCGTAACATCGGTCCCCGTTTGAATTGGACGGGGGATCGATCGGAGGGGACGAGCAAAGCCGCGGGTAAAAGCTAGTATGTCATGTATATCACTGAACACTTAATAAATTCGCCACTACAATCCTTTTTGTGCAATTTATTCCACGCTTTTGTCTGTACACAGAATTATTGTATTTACTTTTTATTTACGCGTGCAACTTTATTTCGCGCCAATTCACTAACAATGGCCGACCGTGGAAAATAAAAAATGACATTAAACTGTCGACGGGGGCACTCAACTGTTACGGATGCATCTAGATTGCTCTTTTTAACTTTCATCCGCTCTATTCTCTCTGGTTATTACTCAATAATTAATTTCTAATTTTGTCTATGTTCCGTTTGAGATATAGCAACAATTATATTTCAATATTGTTAAAACCAAAACACTTCTTTCTAGTTTATTGCAGCGGTAAATAAAAATGCGTTTGTTAGTCTAGCTAAAACTAGAGAACGTCTGGACCGATATATATTATTTTTTAAATACATAGCACTTATTAAGAATTACATCGACAATTTTCCTTACACAACATTTATTAAGAATTTCATCGATGTTTAAAATAAATATAGACATTTAATAAAATAATATATCTATCATATTAAATTAATAAGAAAACATATTTATACTCAACCAATTTTAATATTTTCTATTAATAAATAAAAAAAATATCTCCACACTAGCGACTCGTCATATCTTCATGGGTAAAAAATTAATTTCCACAAAACCTTAAAGCGTCTTCAGAAATCTAACTGTTAGTAGATGAAAACCTCATTAAAATGGGTCCAGTAGTTTTCTCTTATACTACGATAGTCGCAAACAAGCATCCCATCTGATGGTAAACGATTACCGTAGCCTATGTACGCCTGAAACACTAGGGGTGTTACGTGCGCGTTGCCGACCCTTAAGAAACCTTAATAGTTTTAAGATTATCGACAAAAGATTACGAACAGACAGACAGACGCGTACGGAAGGGATTTTTATTTTATAATCTAATGAATATTATAAACGCGAAACTGTGAGTATGCATGGATGTTTGTTACTCTTACACGCAAAAACTACTAAACGGATTTTGATGAAACTTTACAGTAATATAGCTTATATATCAGAATGACAGATAGGCTATATATTACAAGCAGGTGAAACCGCCGGTATGGGCAGTAGTTACGGAAGGAAGGAAGGACTGTATTAAGGCTGGTTAAAAATGAGACACGTTCCTAGATGAGGTAAAATAGGTGTAATCAGCTCGCTAGCAAAAATATAAAGACAATATGGCATAAGAAAACAAACGGTATACAAAAACAGAACGTCAAAATATAAAATTCAAATATATATAAAAAACATAAAAACTATCAAAAAGGTTGCCATCGGCAACATCAGTAGTTATATAAGATTCAAGCGCCTATATCTAACGACTGAGCAAAATTGAGAAATTGACAAATCGGCAAACACTAGATTTTTATAGGTACCTATTTTTTACGATGATAAACAAAAACAAAAAGCTAGTCCTATGGGAACTGAAAATAACAGAAACTAATAAAACTTATAACTTCTTTACAACTTATATAGAAACGTTATTTTCTTTGACAGTCTCAGTGGTCTAGCTGTTTAGCACCGCTTTAATTCCGATGGTCGCGGGTTCGATTCCACGCACAGTACAAACATATGTATTCATGAGTATGATTATATGTATTAGTGTTTTCTATGTGTATTACGCGTATGTATTTACAAAAAAAAATCTAAGTATTTATAGCAGTTGTTTAGTACCCATAACACAAGCTCTGCTTATCGTGGGTATACATGGCGCTGTGTTTGTCCAGGGTTATTTATTATTATTTATTTATTTATACAATGATTTTTAAGACGATCAGAGTAAAATATACTGTAGTATACTGGCTTCTAAGATGTAATTGTTTGGCTATTGTAAATCTTTTGAAAGCACCATCACTTTATTCCATGGTGTGACTGGAGCGGAAACATAACTACTATTTTAATTTAAAATAAAATAACAGTAAAAACACCAAAAGGGCTCACAGCGAATAGAAAAGTAAAAGCATTCTTTTTATAAACTATATTTTTGATATCTATTTTTTTATATGTCACTTTTGACTAATTGTTTGTTACTTTTCTAGTGATACTTTTCTGTGAACCCTTTTATAGGTACCTAGTAGTTGTGTTATATATTAGTTGTATATTTTATAGGTAAAATAGTAGTTGTGTTTCCGCTCCATGGAATAAGTTCATGGCGCTTTCAAAAGATTTACAACAGCCAAACAATTACATCTTAGAAGCCAGATGTTTTCCATGACAAGCTCTGCTATCTTTCTATCCCAATACCCCAATAAAGAAACGTTACTCCAAAATTTATTTACCTTCATTGGTATATTACAATACTAATATTAGATGAATTGATTTGTAATACAACTGCGGCAATGTCGCTGCAATTCGCTCTTGATATTCGTAATTAGAGCTATAAAGAAAGAACTATAAAATAAAGTCGCTTCCGTTGTCTGTTCGTTTAGATCTTTAAACTACGCAACGGATTTACTATGACGATATTATTTAGAACTCCAGATTTCGAGGCTGTTACAAATATCTTAGTCACGGATATGTTTATTATATACATATATTCTTTATTGCACTTTTAAACACAGTTGTAAACATAAATATATGCAGAGTGAGCAAAGGTGGACTTATCTCTAAAAGATATCACTACCAGTCAACCCAACAGTGAGGCATAACTATTAGTGAGTGGGTAACACATGTGCAATTAACAATATTATGTTGAGATGTACAAAAGTTGAGAAAAAAAACAATTGAAATTCAACAAATTAAATAATGTTCTAATTATATTATAATTAATTATTAAATTATTAAAATATGAAGCAATTTTATAATTTGCTTTAATATTTATGTAGCATATACATGTTTATATGTACATACAGAGTGGTACATTATATGATAATATTTATGAGAATTAATAGTGTTCGGAAAATCATACAATAATATATTTTACTAGGTTTTGCACGCGGCTTCGCTGCGTTAATTTATCCCCTTAAGGGTGGAATTTATCGAAATCCTTTCTTATGAGATACCTACGTCATAGTAGCCTTATACGTGTAAAGTCTCAACCCGAACGGTTTAAAATTGACAAAGTTTCATACAAACTTTCATCCCCTATTTTATCCCGTTGGGGGTAGATTTAATCAAAATCCTTTCTTAGCGGATGCCTACGTCATAACATCTACCTTAATGCCAAATTTCAGCCCGATCCGTCCAGTGGTTTGGGCTGTGCGTTGATAGATCACTATGTGAGTCAGTCAGTCACCTTTGAGTTATATATGTTTAGATATAAAATACAGCTGTATAAAGCTGTATGAGCGTGCGGTGTCCCGTATATATGTATAATTTTACTAAAAAGGTAATAAAATCAGTGTATCAATAAGTAGTCACATCGGGACGTATCTTTTATTGAACCATCCCCGTATATCATAACACTTATCAACAACATTATCATTTATCACTATCAACCAAGTGTAGGGGATCAACCCCTACAAATGGATTCTTAATGACTCCATCAGTTGCACTTTTAGTTGGTTCTATTCCCAGGTTGAGTAAGCATGTTATAAATACACTAGCTGTTCCCGCGACTTCGTCCGCGTGGAATTTAACTTTATTTTATTTTAAATAAAGGATTTTTCTTAAATAAAAGTAGCCTAAGTTACTCCTTATTACATCAGCTACCTGCCAAAAAAGGCAAGTCAAAATCGGTCCAGCCATTTCAGAGATTAGCGGGAACAAACAGACCGACAGACAGATAGACAAAAATTATAAAAAATGTTATTTTGGTATAAGTACCATACATATATTCATATGCATGTAGTAAAAACGTTATTTCAATATTACAAACAGACACTCCAATTTTATTTATACGTATAGATGTATAGATAAATGTATTTATTTTGTTTTGCTATTAAAATTCAAAAGTAAGTAACCTAGGTTCTTTTTTTCAGTCAATGTAGGTATAATACCTCAATGTGTCGAGTAACTCCTAAGGTTATAATAAAAAATATATATGGGTCTCACCTATTGAGCTATGTTTACGGGCCTTTATATTTTCTGTTAGCAAAACATTACGGTTTTAGTGTTTAGGGTACCGTATTGTGAATCGAATAGACAATTTATTTTACAATATAAAGTAATACGCATGTACTTTATTATTTAGGATATAGTTTTTTTGAGATATATTTTAAAAGTATTTATTACTAGTATTTACATAATCTAATTGTACAACTAAGAACCTAAAATTAAAAAGCTTAAAAAAAAAATAATATGATGACTAAAATATATTATTAAAAGGGGTCCCTTTAGGTAAGGTTCCGAAGATACTGGCAGCGTTACCTCTTTGAATAGCTAGACTAATATATATTTTATTTGTCATTATTGTTACGAGTAAATATTTTATGACATTTTAGTTCACTACCTAAACACTTCAATTTCAAATATTGTTTTTTTAATTCTGTTCATACTTGAAAAAAATATAAATTTGATATTGTTATTCTTGCATTTATTTAGACCGTTATTTTCTACTTCATATTACATGTAACATGTATGTACATACATAAAATTTTTTTTTTTTTTATTCAAATCGACTATCAATCGCAAGACTATAAGTGTTGAATATTGCTTATATAAAAAATCTATTGTTTTTTTTTTAAATATCAAAGAAAAACATATCGTTTATATTATACCTATATCTATATATACAATAACAAAATTAACTTTAAAAAATATACGTCAATACCGTAGTGCGTCGCCTTCTGTCTGCAAGATTGGATTCCATAAGTTTTCGAATCTAGATCTCAATTTTAAAACAATACGAACGACCCACTTCTTTGAAGTCGGCTGCAAATAAGACGTGTATCAAACGGAACCAAACTTGTGTAAAAACATGCGCCCACTCGTCTTTTTATATACTAGGAGACATCCCTTGAATTTTTAATGCTCGAAGGAAATCCGCTTTTATGGAGTAACATCAAAGATCCCAGAGAATTAAGGTGCGTTTCTGTCAGTTTGTTTTACGTGAGGTATGAGGTAAGTATGTATTATAAATAGTTCAGTTTTTTATATACAATCCAAATAAGGAAAATCTTATTTGTAACACATTGTATTATATATTTTTGTTCGTAAATGTTACTGCTTGTAGATACTGTATTAGATTTGTTTACTTTTGTCCATCTTGTTATTTGGCAGTTTGTAGTAACAGAAAATGTTAAAAATATAATGATGAAATATAAACGGCCGGGAGTGGATTGATGCGGAAGGCGGTAGTGCGCACATGGTGGAAGTCTTTGACCTATAGACACAGGCTGATGATGATGATGATGATGATGAAATATAATATATTGATATATAATTTTAGATTTATTTCAAAACAACAGCACGCAAGTTTCTTAATCATTTAGTCGGAATTTTTGTAATACATGAGAGCGTGTTGCTAAGTACAAGTTTCTTTCTTGTTTTTCTAATGTCTCTGTAGAAATGTATAATCTGTGTTTTTGTAATAATGTACGAGCTCATTTAAAAACAATAAGGGCTGAGTTTCTTGTCATTTCTTAGCTCGAAAGTATTCCGAAGTTACGGTAAATTTGACATATTATAAGAGTCTGCAATAAATTTGATGTGATGATATTTTGATTTGATTTTGTGATGAGTTTACTTTACGAATGAGTGGTAGAATAAAAATAGAAATAGAAATAATATTTATTCAAATAAACTTAATATTATTATACCTAAGTACAATTTTGAATAGTCATTTTTTTTTTATTCTATCGCTCATTCGGAATGCAGACTCATCACAAGAATAATGAGCAAGAAATTTGAGTGTTGCTATTTTAATATTTTTTTAATAATTACACTATAACAAGAAATAGACATTCGATTATAGTCACCATAGAAACCGCTAGAATGAGTGCATTCTTAGCGCAATAAGATAATATTTATAATATTCAGCGCTATGGATTTTAAGTTTTTCTACAAAAACCACAAAGATAATTTATATATTTTTTTTTCTATTAATTTTAATATCGTTCATATGTATATTAGTCTGTAAGGCATTTATAATATGGGCTAATAGTAACCTGAATTAAATAAATAAAAAACATTTGAGAAGAACTGGCCAGAAACTCAACTGAAGTTATTTTTTTAACCAGTTGTTCTATGAAATCAGAATAAGAAAACCATCGGTCGTACTTGTTGATCCTCAAATATATTTTTTAAGGTATTTTTTTATATTTTATCAGAACAAGAAAACCATTGATCGTACCTGATGATCCTCAACAAAATTTTTTTGAAGGATTTTATTTTATTTAATCAGAATAAGAAAACCATCGTTCGGGCCTATTGATCCTCAACTAAATTTTTTATAAGGCAATAGTTATATAAACATAGTTAATTAATCAGAATAAGAAAACCATCGATCATACCTGTTGATCCTCAACTATATTTTTTAAAGCAGTTTTTTTATATTAAATCAGAATAAAAAAACCATCGTTCGTATCTGTTGATCCTCAACTAAATTTTTTTCAAGGCATTTTTTATATTAAATTATAATCATAAAATTATTGATCGTACCTGTTGATCTTGCTGCATATCGATGACGCTGTGCTGTCCAGACTGATCAGCCTGATTGTACCCGAATCCTTGTAAGTTCATGTTGTACGGAGACCATTGTGTCTGGTCTGCGAATGATGTTGCCACTAGTAGCGCGCTCACGAACTGGAAAAAAATATATAATAAGTATATGTTGCCATGTATTCATATGCCATGACAGCCTCGGTGGTCTAGCGGTGTACACTGCCTTAATTTAATGGTCGCGGGTTCGATTCCTCACATGGTTTTTATACCATTTTAAATTTTATAATAATATTCTTTGACATATTATTTTTGTTTTATTCTAATATATATCGCTGTCAGTCGCTAGTCGCATTTTTTTAATCTCCGTATTTTCCTCATTAAACCCCTCAAAACCTCTCACTCATCAGACACATTTGATACCAACGTAATATATATATATATATATATCTATATATTTTAAGTATATTATTTAGATATAAATATACATTTTATACTAGCTCTACCCGCGACTTCGTCTGCGTGGAATTTTGCAACATTACTTTATTTTTATAAACAAAATAATGTTTCTAAAATTAAAGTTACTCCTTATGACATCAGCTACATGCCAATAAAAGTCCCGTCAAAATCGGTCCATCCATTTCAGAGATTAACCAGAACAAACAGACAGATAAAAATTGTAAAAAATGTTATTCTGGTGTATGTACCGTATTTATATTGATATGCATGTAGTAAAAAACGGTTTTTTCAATATTACAAACAGACACTCCAATTTTATATATATGTATGTTTATATATATATTAGTTATACTAACATATATTATGAAATAAAAAAAAAATATCTTAAAATTTTACAATTTTTTTATTTAATTCTATCCTTTTCACTACATATATGTATCTATATAGCGAATAGAGTAAGGACAGTAGAGTGTCTCTCCTTTCCAGTCACATGGCTGAGCGCATGGACGGAGGCTATTTATCAAAGATTTCCTTTATGCTAGGGTTGCCAACACCAAATAAAAAAATCAGGATTATATGTTGGAAAAACTAGGACAATTCAGTTTAAAAGTGACACAGCATTACAGTTTCAATAGTTAAATTTAATATGTAACGAAAATAGGTAAAATGAAATTGAATTAATTTAAATAATAATATTTTATAATAACCGTATTTGAATATATATTATTGTTTATTAATTTCTAAAATTTTAAACCGAAATGTAACAACCCCGGAAGCTACTTAAAAGCTGTTCAAAAACGAATCTGTATTATTGTAAACTTATAGAACCTTATATACTTGAAACTAAAGTATAAATTTAAGTTTCTTCTCAGTTCTTCTCAGCTCGAAAGCTCTCCGAACCGACGATAAATTTAACATATCATAAGAATCTGTAATAGATCTACATGAATAAAGATATTTTGATTTTAATAATTATTGAGCGGAGAGCGCAGCGCTACGCGATCTTAGAGTTCAGATTTGCACTCAAATTCAAATTCAAAATATCTATATTCATGTAGAATAGAGATATTTTGAATTTGAATTCAGGACGTCCCAATACACTGCTAAAACTAATACACTTGTACTAGGAAAACAGGACGTTTGGTAACTCTACTCTACGCCATATTTCAAAAATGTCCGCCACTGACTTCGATATTGCGACCATAAATAGCCAAGAAAAACAGGATCGTATTTCTTAAGAATAATGATGATACTCCCCAGTTTTTGATGTTATATTTTAGGAAACACTATAATAATAATAATAATAATAATCTTAGGACAATTCACACAGCGCCATCTAGACCCAAATTAAGCTAGCTAAAGCTTGTGTTATGGGTACTAGATAACTGATACAAATACATAGATATTTTTTTTTTTTTGTAAATACATACATATTATATATAGAAAACACCCAGACCGATACAAACAATCATACTCATGAATACAAATGTTTGTGCCGTGCGAGGAATCGAACCCGCGACCATCGGTCGTAAAGCGGTGTACTAGACCGCTGGACCACCGAGGTCGTCTATGTTATTATAAATAGTATATTTTATTCAATTTTTAAAGAATTTAAGTAGGTATTGGGACTACAAGATCACGAAGATCTTGTAGTTTATTGGCCCCAGTTTATATTCCAGTTTTTTATGCCAATGGAGTAACAATGTTCTCCATTGTCCAGATCTTGTAGTTTATTGGCCCCAGTTTATATTCCAGTTTTTTATGCCAATGGAGTAACAAGTTGACGGTCCATTGTCCAACAACACCGTGATATACTCCCGGTGAATATGCCATGATGGGCTACCTGACCTGACCTCATACTCCACTGATGCCCCACTAGCGTAAACCGTTAGCGCAGGCGGGTATCTCCATTGTCATCCATTAATATATAAATATATACACACAAGAGCACTGCGTACATTAAATCATATAACGGAGCAAATAGATCTATTTTCTTGTTCTCTGAATGAGTTCACGTAGATCGCTTTATTTCTTATAAGTTACAATTAATTTAAAAAATAATGTTTCCTGCACTATTGTATTAGGCTAAGGCCTGTAAAAATAGATGTAAATGTGGAAAATAAATAAATATATGCAGTAATTAGATATTTTTAATGAATTTCAGTAGGTATTAGGATCATAGTGATCTTATAGTTTAATGACCCCGGTTTATATTATATTTTATTTTATGTCACTGGAGAAATGACGGTCCACATGGTAGCCCTTGTGAAGGTTGACCTCCACGCGCTCCTTGGAAACCACTTTATTTTATGTCACTGGAAGAACAAGCTGACGGTCCATCTGGAAATGAGTAGTCAACTCAAAAAGGATTGTTAGTAATGTGGAGAAATGACACATAGGTAGCAATGTACCTTGTGAGGTTGACCTCCACGCGCTCCCCTTGGAAACCACTGTGATACATTGCTGGTGAATTGATCGTGATGGGCTCACTTTAAATTTAAAATGTATATAATTTTATTCAATTAGTTTGAATAAAAAATGCAAATATTTCATTTACTTAAATTACATGTCACCTAATTTCACTACATAATTCTTGAACTCTAATAATGCGTTTTTAAACTGTTTTGTAACGATGTTCCCAACTTTCAATCCTAGTTTTTTTTAAGTTTGTGTTAGCAACACTAGTATAAACCATAGTGTAGAAGACGCTCGTTATCAGCGCTTCGCACGTTGTCATTTCACTACTGTTCAATGTATCATGCGTTATTTAGCTGTATCTGGACACGCACCAATTCAAGCACACTCAAGGGTTAACGAAAACGCCATTCTGGCATCACTGGTTTTTAAATTAAAATAACTGAAAAGAAAAAAACATGTTAGTAGGCGACATACTAACTTACTAATGTTTTTTTTTAGTTATTCTGGTCACTTACTAATATGTTTTTTCAGTTATTTTTATTTAATAAAATAAGTACTTGTGACAAATGATTGTATTTAGTTGTTTAAGATAAATGTATTAGCTTTAAACAAAAAACGTAGTACAAAATCATTATGAAAACAATTAAAACGGGCTTGAGTAAAAGAAAATAAAATATATTAAAAAAATGCTATTAAAATCGATACCATTAGCTACACTACAATTCTACCATACTTACCTACTATATACCTTTAAATTATATAAAAATTCCAAATCTAATTATAAATTACTAAATTCTGAGGCATAAACAAAATTTTCAACCGAATTAAGATATTGTTTCTTTATTTTAGGTATGTAAATAAGGTGTAAGATTGTTTAACAAAACGTTAAGGTATTCTATGTCACAATATAAAAAAATACTAACCTTAATATAAACAACTCATATACGTCGTCACACCCTAATAAACACGAATTATCGGAATTCGGAAGTGACATAATAATGCTATACACATAATCAGAGACAACTTTTATTTTTCTACGAAAATAGACCGGAATAATCGTGCGGTGAGAGGGAAAAAAAGGCGCGAAAAAAACTGCAGCACTCCGGTGAATGGAACGTTACGTCACCCGGCCACAGATAATTTGACGCGGCAATATTTGGTTGTCAGAGTGACATTGAATTTTGACAGCTGTCAATTATGCAGCGATCGAAACAAAAAGAAATAAAAATATATGCAGACATAGCTGTATGAGCGCAGTTCCCTTTGCCTCTAAATAATAAACAGAACCAAAGAATAAGAAGTCTAGGGACATATTTATTTATTAATCAAAATATAAATAAAAATTATATAAATTTAAATTAATTGCCGAAATCAATTACACATTACTTTTTGTTGTATTTGTAATTGTCCATACATAGTTTGTATGAAAGAAAATATTTGAAAAGTAGCACATAAAAACATTTTTATGTAGTAAAAACAAATATTAAGAGATTGATAAAACTAAAACAACTCGAGCGAAGTCAGTCTAGCGGCTAGTTTATTGATTTAATATCATTCTTTTTTGTATAATATACATAATAAATACCAACAAAGCTAATACAGCTTCTTATGCTTCTTATAAAGCTGATAAACATACATTTTGTTTTTTTAACAAATATACTAGCTGTGCCCGTGACTCCGTTCGCGTCGTTATATAAAACACTTCATATATATTTTTTGGTTAAGTTGCACCGTTTACGCAACGCACGCAACAGAAGCCCCAAATAGGAATAATTTTCCCCGTTTTGCATCATTTTTCCCTGATGCTTCGCTTCTATTGGTCGTAGCGTAATGTTATATAGCGTAAAGCCTTCCTCGACAAATGGACTATTCAACACAAAAATAATTTTTCAAACCGAACCAGTAGCTCCTCAATTTAGCGCTGTCAAAGAAATATAGCTAACTAACTCTTCAGCTTTATAATGTTAGTATAGATAGAACTTACGACTGTTTAAAAGTAAGACAGTATGCCAAACCACTAGACTACCAAGGTGGCCGTATACTTATTACATAAGTAAAATGTAGTATAACTCTGCTTCCTCAGCAATAAAGGTATTAACCCATAGACACTATACCATAATTACGACCATAAATTACGAGTAGGAAGCGCAGACAACATGCTCCTTGTTGCAACCCCCTCTACACTCACGAAAACATACGCTTCACAATTACGAGCGGAACCGTATGTACCCGTTTTTCTTTTATGGATGATAATGGAATTGTGCTAAAGATTTACGCTGGCGGGGCAGTGGAGGCTAATCAGATGAGCATGAGGTCAGGTCAGTTAGCACATCGTGACAAATTCCCCAAAAAAATATCACGATGGTTTCTAGGGGGAACCGCGTGGAGGTCAATCTAACATGGTACATTGCTAGCAATAAGATTACCAATCCACATGACTATCAATCCCCTTTTCCTCTCGTAAGTACCCGTTCGTCTCCGGGGTGGTGAAACATACGCGCTGGCAGGTACATCGTGTAGATTTTAGTGGTTAAAAATTTCACACACTACCCCGGCCATTCCATCGGCGGGGTGAAAATCTTTTGAAAATTTTGTACACATTAAAAAAAAAGTGCCTGTCCGTCCAACCCTTGACACGGTCTCAAATCTAGGGATCTTTTCCCCACGTTACAAAAAAAAAAGTAAATCACTATCTACCTACACGTATATCGATCTCTGATTAGATACATACGTTTAGATATATATTTTAAGGAAGGTGTTACATATGAGTACAGAGCAAGTCCGAAAAAGAGATGGATGGACTATGTGAAAGATGATATGGTAATAAAGGGAATAAATAACGAGATGACTGCGAACAGGGATGAATGGAAGAGAAAAACATATTATTATGCCGATATCAAATAAATGGGATAAGCAAGAAGCTGATGAAGAATGAAGAAAGAAGAAGAAAAGATGGTATTTTGCTGACGTCCAAATCGTAACTAACAGGCGCACCATAACTTTGCTGAACTATAGTGATGTTAATAAAAACGCGTCGTGAGTTTATGTCCCGTATGTTTTCATAACACAAAGTGCATTGTCGGATATCCGTGATATATCTTTACGGATATTAACGGTTTAAAATGTGTCTCTATATACATAAAGAGTATATAGTTATTATTAAAATTTTCACTAAACTTTTATATATATATATATTATATATATATCATATATTCAATTATGAACAAACAAACATATATATAATATTACAATAATAACCTCACACAATTCACACAGCGCCATCTAGTCCTAAACTAAGCAAAACTCTTATTATGGATACTAGACAACTGATAAAAATACTTTAATATATATTTCTTTAAATACTTACATAATATACATAACACATGATAAAAACAAACAATCATATTCATAAATACAAATATTTGCACTGTGGCAGGAATCGAATCCACGACCATTGGAAGTAAGGCGATGTACTAAACTACCACTATACCGAAGCCGTCATATAATGTTAACAAGTAATAAAGTTATTTGCTGTTACATAGAGTTTACAATATACTATATGTAAGCTCTAATATTTTTTTTAATTATGCATATAAAATATATTACATCAATAAAAAAAACATTACACACATTACCATGTATTTGACACATACACGCATAAAAGTAGTCTTTGACAATAGAATCTTAATAATGTTCAAAATTATAATTTAAATTATTTATGTTCGAATTTCGAATATTGGGCGACCACTATTTATATGTATTTAATAATTAAAAATTAATTATGTTTGAATTTCGAATATTGGGCGATCACTATTTATATTTATTTAATAATTAAAAATTAATTATGTTTGAATTTCGAATATTGGGCTACCACTATTTATATTTATTTAATAATTAAAAATTAATTATGTTCGAATTTCGAATATTGGGCGACCACTATTTACATATATTTAATAATTAATTGAAAACTCACATATGTTTGGAAGGAATACATTTTGAAGTCACCAACAACACAACTCGAATTGATACCACAACAACCTTACCGGACATTTTTATAGTGAAGTGACGGGGCACTATTCGTTTTGTTCTGCATTCTAGTACCAGTTTAAATTGGCACGTACGCACCTGTAAATTACTATGTACAGTAGATCTAATGTAACTGGTAAGTTATATCATAGATTTAGAATCGAGTCTATTTTGTGATGTTTACTATACATTGCAGGGTTGTGCAGCGTTTTGATGTTGACGATTGAGTTCACACAGCAATGTATATAATAGTTACAATTATGATAATCATAGAAAATTGTGTTAGTTCCGCAATTATTTTTTTTAATCCTATCATTTTAGTTTTTGGTTTTTTTTAGTTGGTTGTTGAATGGATTTCGGAAGTACTATGTTGAACTAGATTCATCTTTTATTTGGAGTATATTAACAGGCGTATACCTACTACTTTTATATGTGCATACTAGCGACACGTCCGGGCTTTGCACGGATGCATTACTTCTTTGAATTTCTTAGTAAAGAACAAGCCGATAAATCTTTGCATTACTCGGTTTGTTCTTTACTATAACACGAATACCGTCCTCTGGAATCATTTGCTGAAATTTGCAATAAAATCTGTAGCTTATTTTAAAGATATATGGGAAAAGACAGCGGCAGTGACTTTTTTTTTATATTATGTAAAGATACACCAAAAAGAGCAACAATATAGTCACAACGATTCGACGACCTCGGTGGTCTAGCGGTCTAGCACCGCTTTACGTCCGATGGTCGCGGGTTCGATTCCTCGCACGGCACTAACATTTGTATTCATTAACATGTTTGTTTGTATCGGTCTGGATATTTTCTATGTATAATATGTATGTATTTACAAAAAATATCTGTGTATTTGTATCCAAGCTTTAGCTAGCTTAACTTGAATCTAGATAGCGCTGTGTGAATTGTCCTGAGATTATTATTATTATTATTATTATTAAAACGCATACGGGCTCTTGTTACAATTCTAATTAAGGCATAGTACTACAAGATATATTTTTTTAATTACTAGAAGAATTAATATTTAATAGAAAATTTATAATAATTTTGAAATATAAAATTTAAAATAATTTTGAAAATTTTGAAATATAAAATTTAAAATTTTATGTTTCAAACTTTCATAAGAACATCGCGGTTATCTAATCAGTTTAGTGTAAAAAGATTAATAATAATTGTAGGGGATGCTCCCTTAATTAATTTATATAAACACATAATTATTATTCTATAGTATTCCGTACATAACTCTGTATAATTCACACAGCGCCATCTAGACCCAAGCTAGGCCGAGCTTGTGTTATGGGTTACCTACCCATACTAGACAACTTATGGACGTACTTAAAATTCTTTTCTTTTATTAATACATCATAATATACATAGACAACAGATCCATACAAACAACCATATTCGACTACAAATGTTTGTATATGCGAGGAATCGAACCCGCGACCATCGGAAATAAAGACGTGTACTAGACTACTATACCACCAGTCAATATAATTTAAATAAAATCTCATTCAAATTTTGTTTAGCTTTTAAAAAAAAGTCTGTACTAATATTTGGAAACTATATACTAAAAATATAAATAACCCAGGACAATTCACACAGACACACTACCATCTAATCCCAAGCTAAGCAGACCTTGTGTTATGGGTACTAAGTAAATTCTCGACATACAATATTATTTCCTTTATAAATACATAAATAATATATGTACATAGAAAACAGACCAATACAAACAACCATACTCGACTACAAATGTTTCTATCGTGCGAGGGATCGAACCAGCGACCATAAGAAGGCGTTGTACTAAACCGCTAGACCATTGGGGCCGTCATATAATAATGACAAGTAATAACGGTATCTGCTGTTGCATATACTTTCTCAAAGCAGGCCAAACGTAACACTACTATGCATTATGCGGTTGTAAATACATAAGTATTATATATTTATACTAGCTACTCGCCGCGGGTTCGCACGGGTGTACATACACTATATTTTTAAACCTTCCTTTTAAATCACTCTATCTATAAAAAAACCGTTTCAAAATCCGTTGCGTAGTTTTAAAGATTTAAGTATACATAGGGACAAACAGCGAAAGCGACTTGTTTTATACTATACTAGTTACTCGCCCCGGCTTCGCACGGGTATACATGTATTATATAAAACTTCTTCTTGAATCACTCTATCTATAAAAAAACCATTTCAAAATCCGTTGCGTAGTTTTAAAGATTTAGGTATACATAGGGACAGACAGCGACAGCGACTTTGTTTTATACTATACTAGCTACTCGCCCCGGCTACTATACATATAAACCTTCCTCTTGAATCACTCTATCTATTTAAAATACCGCTTCAATATCCATTGCGTAGTTTTAAAGATTTAGGTATACATAGGGACAGATAGCGACAGCGTCTTTGTTTTATACTATGTAATGATAATTATTAGTATATAAGTACATGTTATGTATATAGTTTATTGAATTACATAGGTGTTATTTTGCGGAAGTCCGTTTTATTAATTAATTCGAAAATTTTAAATTAAACCATTATGTGACCAGTGTTAGCGTAATGTCCAAAAATACGGGAAAGGGATGAAAAAATTAAAAAGGGATGAAAAAATTAAAAAGGGATGAAAAAATAAAAAAGGATGAAAAAATTAAAAAGGGATAAAAAAATTAAAAAGGGCATGAAAAACGCTACTTTCTAGCCTTTTTATTAGGGGATTAAATAGGGTTATTAGGGGATTTGAGCTATTGTCAAGTGCCTGTAGCACTGCGACCTGTATAGATCTTTAGCGGCTATGTTGGGGCCACTATTATTTGTAATGTTCTCTGTAGCAGCAGCAGGAAAGAAAGAGGTGAATAGAAACCAGTCGTGACTATTTACATATTTACAATATAATATATATATATCAACGTATATAAATCATGGTATATATAAACGTCTATGTGACAGACTGGACCCATTGACTTTGCGACGAGATATTGCATCTCTGTGCATTTTCTACCGCATATATCACGGGGAGTGTTCTGAGAAATTGTTCGGATTAATACCAGCTGCTGAGTTTCACCACCGTACCACCCGACAGAAACTGAAATATCATCTGGATGAATGGCGGTCTTCCACAGTACGGTTTTCTAGAAACTTTTTGCCTCGCACAACCACATTGTGGAATCACCTTCCAGCAATGGTATTTCCGAACCAATACGATATTGAAACCTTCAAGAAAAGAGGTTATTCCTTTTTAAAAAGCCGACAACGTACTTGCAATTCCCCTGGTGTTGAGGGTGCTCATGGGCGGCGGTAATCACTTACCATCCATAAGGTAAGGTATCCATAAGGTGAGCCGCATGCTCGTTTGTCCCCTGTGTTATAAAAAAAATATATATAAAATTCTCGTGTCACAGTTTTCGTTCCCATACTCCTCCGAAACGGCTTGACCGACTCTCATGATATTTTGTGAGCGTATTGAGTAGGTCTGAGAATCGGTCAACATCTATTTTTCATCCCCCTTAATGTTAGGGGTAGTCCACCCCTAAATTTTATTTTTTTATTTTTTAGACCAAATTTTTAGTTTCTATTTTTTTATGATACAACATACAAAAATACATACAATCCTAAATTCTCACCCTTCTATCATCAACCCCTATTTTTTTATAGCGTCATTAATTTATATGGCAAAACAACGTTTGCCGGGACAGCTAGTAATATATAGAAGTATTTACAATTAGTATATGTACAAGAAGGCGATTGGGTCTCGAATGACAGACCTGTTATTTTATTGCTCTGTCGTAGCTAGGCAACGGTGTTGCCGCGCGATAATAGTAAATTCGCCACAGATCTATTATACTCACCCTTATTCAAAATTCGCTACCTAGATCCGTGAGAACAAGAATCGAAGGATATTCTTAGGAGGGATGGTTTTTATCTCCACAGGATAGTGTATACTTTCCAGAGGAGATATTTCGTTTATGCATGAGTGGGCTACAACCATATAAAATGTGTAGTGACGTGTCCTCTTCTGCTTAACATAATCTGCAGATTGTTGCTGGCCTAATTTCGCCGTGTGTTTATTCTTTCATATAATGAAAGAAATAAATAATAAAATAAATAAAAATAGGGTTTAAAGAGTAGGTTAACAAACAATATACTTCTTAAGTTAGGCCAAATTGTTTAAATTTTATTACTTTTAATATTTTTAAGTATGGCCACTTGGGGGTTTTTCTCTCCGGAGTTGATGCTACTGCAAAGGGGTTCGCCCGGAGGCCCCAACCTTCACCTCCCTGGGGGTTGCGGATGACCAGTCATTCATTCAAAACAATATTTAATAAATAGTGTAGATGCAAAAATATCCGACATGAATTTGACTTTGACAGTTTTAATTACTCTGTGCCATTAAGTAGTAAATTATACAACTGTAGTGTGATGGATTGGATAAATCAATGATCTTGTGGATAAAGATATAATAAGTTCCAGGACAGCAGGTACATAGTGTGAGAGGATTTATAGATGAATGACACTTTCAAATCGATCTACTAATTATATATATTCTATTATATAAAGAAATAAAATATATTAGTAAATTCAGAAAAAAAATATAATGTCACTTTTTACAATAATCTTAGGAACGAACTATCAAAATTTTATAATAAATTCAATTCAAAATTCAAATTCAAAATATCTTCATTCATGTAGCTCTATTACAGACTCTTATGATATGTCAAATCTACCGTCAGTTCCGAATGATTTCGAGATGAGAAGAACTGACAAGAAACTCAGCTCGTATTTTTTTTTAAATGTTGTACATATTTACAATAATACTATTTAATTTAAATTCAAATTTGGGAGAATAGAGTGACCACCAACATATGCTATATAAAAAAAAATAAAAAAATCTAATCAGTGTTCGCAACCTGAACAGACCAGTCCCCACAAGGAGCACCCGTTCACGAGTGTGAC